AGAACTATGTTCAGGCAGTTTATCCAGAGCTCTGTCAGCCACATAACACTGCACAGAAGTACTTCCTGCTGCTCAGAAATCTCCTGTATTTCAGCTTGTGCCCATTGCATCCTGTTCTGTCAGTAGGTGCCCCTGGAAAAAGGCTGGCTGCATTCTCTTTGCAACCTCCCTTATAACCAGACACACTTGATGAGGCAAGTAGAAGCTTTCAGTCTTATTTCTTAAAGGAAGGGAAAAAGCAGGAAAACATTTACTGCCTCTAAATGACAACACAGTTTTAACTTCTGGAATTTCAGCCCTGCACTGTAGTCCACCATTCTCACCAATATGGAAAAAAAAAAAAAAAGAAAAAAAAAAAAAGGAACTTATGGATATTTGTTCACATGTTTGGGGGGTCATGAGGATGGCATCCCCAAAATGTTAGTATCATTAATCTCATGTTCAGCAGTTTGTTACACTATCTATAACTGCAAACTCTTTACTGATATGAAGAGATTAAAGAACTCTCTTCTTTACATTTGAACTTAGTCACAAATAGCTTTATATCAACCACACCTGCAGGGCTTGCTCAGGGAGGTTCTCAGAATCAGATACATGTGCAGCTCACCTCTGAGCTTTGCATCTGTATAATCAGTGGATGTTAAGATGTTACAATCACAAAATAAACAAGAGAGTTAGGCAAAGTAGATTATGATAACAAAAGAGAATAAATGGAAGGCTTACCCTTATTTGGGCTCACCACAGAACACCAAAAGGAGTGATCTCCAGATGAGATCCTTCCCCACTGGTAGCCAGCTCTTAAATAGGTCTAGGAGGGGTGGAGCCTTGCTCCACACCTTCCGGCAGCACAGGTGAGTTGCCTTCACCTGTGCTCCTCTGGCTGACTCATGGCTCGCCTCAGGTGATCAACCAGAGGTTCAGGCCGTGACTCAGTAGTTTCCATACGGCATCCTAACCCAGTGCCATGTAACAAATCTTATTACGTATGAATTTAGGATCCTTTTTCTTTAGTGTTGACTTCTATGATATTGCATTTTGTTCATGATATACAAGATACAGGAAATATTCTGCTGGGGGACCTGTAAGTCCATTTTGGGTGGGCTGTTAGCTGAAAGACGTTTTAGAAAGAAAATGAGATGTTTGCTGGACAAAATATATGCTAGAACCTCAAGAATATCAGGGAGGATAATTTCTAGCTCAATTTATGACAGTGCTGGAAGTGTCAAGCTGCAGTCATAGATAGCACAGTGTTTATGAAACAAAGATCACTCTAAAGTAATGTCTCGTATTGATTTCCATAAACACACAAAAACGGATACAAACAGCACAGTAAAACTATTTGATAGAGTACATTCTTAGTTACAGAACACTATTTTTCAACACTGTCACCAATATTAGCCATGCGTTTTCACCAGAGATGAACAAAATCTACATGCTGTGCTCAAAAGTCTTCATGGCTGAAACAGAATTTTAACAGTTTTTCATTCAGAATGTAATAATAGACAGTAACAAGAATTACACTGTTGGATTTAATACAGTTTAAAGCTTTTAAAGAAGCTGTAGCTAAGGTCTTGCACACTGTGCTTACTAATGAGAAAGCAGTTTCAGAGAATGAAGAAATAAGGGAGTCTTTTCTTTGTGAGGAATGATCTTGGGGTGTTTGTGTTAGTAATACATATCCTAAAAGTAGGATGAGTTGTAGAAATATTGACTAGATAGAGGATGTTGTATTTACTCTCTAGCAGATAGATATATTGGTAGAAGAGAAAGCTAAGTTATGTAAGCAGGGTATCCTGTTACAGGACTTTATAAACTGTCCTTTAAGAGCTACCTCTCCAAAAGGCTACCAGCAGCCTGAGACAGCAGGTTGCCAACAGAGAAGAGCCCTGCAAATGTAAAGCATCAGTCAAAGGCACAGTGAGCTAGGTACGTCATAGCTGTCCTCTCTGGAGGCTTTCAGACATCACTTGCAGCCCAGAAAGCAAACTGTATCCTGGGCTGCATTGAAAGAGACATAATTAGCAGATCAAGGGAGAAGACTGCTCCCCTCTACTCCTGTCTTGTGAGGTTCCCCACATGCAGAACTGCATTCAGCTCAACATAAGAATGTCATGGAACTATTGGAGTAAGTCCAGAGGAGCACCTCAAAGATGGGCTGGAGGATCCTCTGAAGACAGGATAAGAGCTGCGGTTGTTCAGCCTGGAGAGAAGACGATTTCAGGGAGACTTTACGGTGGCTTTCCACTACCTAAAAATGGGCCTAGGGGAAAGCTGGGAGGGACTCCATATTAGGGAAGGTGTAACAGCTTTGAATTAATAACCAGAAGATTTAGATTAGATATTAAGAAGCATTTTTACCTTAGAGGATGGTGAGGAACAAGAACAAGTTGCCCAGATATGTTGTGGATGATCCCAGGAGGTGTTCAAGGCCAGGTTGGATGGGAGCCTAGGATCCTGATCTAGTGAGAGATATTCCTACCATCAGCAGAGGGCTGGAACTGGGTGGTCTTTAAGGTCCTTTCCAACACAACACATTCTATAATTCTGTGAAATACTTACAAAGGTATAAGAACATGGTTGCAGCTTTCAGCCTAGAGTTATCTAAGTACAGAATGGCCCTCAAAACAGCATGATGTATGGTTTGAATTTAACTGAAATGCAAATTTCACCAAGAAGTGACTGCAGACCATGTGTGGAGCAAGTGCACATGACTGAGCTAATGCAAGCACAGATACGTGTTAAAGGCTTCATATGTAATGTAGAAAGATAAGAGGATAAGTCAAAAACAGTACAATTTGTAATCGGTGTCAGTCCTTCTGCCTGAGCTCTTTCTGTTGAAATCATTATATCCTGCTTTTCCAGATTTAACAATTTTCAAGTTCTCTTAATGAATCTGGTATCCCAGCAGCACCTGATTCTTCATTTTCCACAAAATCCTGTGGGAATCGAGTTTCACAATGTATGGGAACTGCTGAATCATGGCCTGAAACTGATTGATCACCTGAGGTGAGCAATGAGTCAGCCACAGGAGCACAGGTGAAGGCAATTCACCTGTGCTGCTGGAAGGGGTGCAGCCTGGCTCCACCTTTCCTGGACCCATTTAAGAGCTGGCTACTGGGGGGGAAGGATCTCTTCTGGAGGTCCACTCTGCTGGAGTTTTGTAAGTGAGCTCAAGGTATGGGTAAGCTTTCTATCTATTCTCTTTTTGTTATTATAGTCTGCTTTGCCTAACTCTCTTCTTTATTTTGTAATTATAGCATCGTAACATTCATTAATTATAGACACAAGTAGCATAGCTCCTTTAACATCAGGTAGGTTCTGCCACTGCAATAGCAACTTCATGGGTTGAGGTCAGGATGTTTCTATTAATAAGAACTTTATATTAGAGGAAACATTCTGTTGATTTTGGCTTCATCTGAAGGGCTGGTTACTGAGCAAGTGGACCTCATTATCCAGTGCGTAGATCCGTTGCCAACAATGGCATCAAACACAGGGAGTACAGCTTTCCCCTGACTTGGCTCATCCTTCCACTCACCTCCACAATTTCTGTCCTGTTTATGTGGTGATCTCTGTGTGTCAGGTATTATTTCTGTAGTAGAGATTGATAGTGAAATTGTAGTAGAGAGCGATTGCGAAATCAAACAATGAGGTAGTATGTGCTGTAATCTGATAGGAGGACCTACCTTGTATAGGTAGTCCTATACAAGGTCCTATAGTGCTAAGCAACGATATATAAAGGGATGTGTTGCTCAACAAAGAGAGCATTCTTCAAGACCGCATCATATGAGTACGAGCTGCTTGATAGGTAATCATAGTTACACAGTTCGCAGGGAGCTCTCACATAGTGAGAGCGCGAGGCAACATATTTCTCATGTTGCTTGTGTATCAAGTTATCTAAATCATGGAGACTGCTTATAGACTTTTCAAGAATACAATAAATAATTTATTTGTACTAAACACTACTTGTCGTTACTGAGGGAATTCTTGTTAATTTCTTCTCTTCTGGTTCCTTACTGCAAGAAAGGTATGAAGGCCCTGGAGAGTGTCCAGAGAAGGGCAACTAAGCTGGTGAGAGGTCTGGAGCACAGGCCTTATGCGGACTGGCTGGGGGAGCTGGGATTCTTCAGTCTGAAGAAGTGGGAGCTCAGGAGAGACCTTATCGCTATCTATAACTACCTGAAGGAAGGATGTAGTGAGCTGGCGTCAACTTCTTCTCTTGTGTAACTAGTGATAGGACTGGAGGAAATGAACTCAAGTTATGCCAGGGGAAATTCTGGCTGGACATTAGGAAATACTACTTTTCTGGAAGAATGGTCAGGCATTGGAATGGGCTGCCCAGGGAGGTGGTGGAGTCACTGACCCTGGAGGTGTTCAAGGAACATTTAGATGTTGTGTTGAGGGATGTGGTTTAGCGAGAACTATTGGTGACAGGAAGATGGTTGGACTGAATGATCTTGGAGACCTTTTCCAACCTTGGTGGTTCTATGATTTTATGCTACAGTAAACACAGACTACAGTATATGTAACCTTGTTATTATTGTACGGTGGATTTATTTCAGTGCTGAAAACATTAAATGCTTCACAATTGACAGATTGTGCAGAAAATCTGTCAGATCAATTTCCTAATATGTCTGATTTTTCCTAGCGACACAAAGAAGTGAAATTAAAAGGTAGTATATGAAGACAGAACAAATAGCACTTGAATTTTTTGTTTTTCTTTAAAAAACAAAAACTAAAACAGATGTTCTGAATTTTAAACACCAAACTTTTCCTCAGTTCCCTTCTTGTCTCTCAGTAATTCAACTATTTACTATGAAACAAAAAGAATTACCAGAGAACTAGTGAAATGCTCGTATGAAAGGAACTGAAAAGTTTAGCGATTTAGAAAAACTTTTAGAGTTCTCAGAACAGCCCATTTTGCCGTGTATTACCCAACACACTGTGGTGGCCACAAAGAAGTCATCCTAAGAAAGAAATGATTTTATTATGCTGCCTGTTGATATTTGCTTTGCTGTTGATATGCTTTGATACTGTTGAAAGAGACATCACATCCTTATTAAGCATTAGAAAGCGAACTAGAAACTGCTCTGATGAATGGGAAATATGGGAAAAGAAATTTGCTGCTTTTGTGAAGGTACTGGTTGTAAAGAAGTACATATTAGGTTTCATCAGGTTAGAGAAAAAGAGTATGCTCTCCACTCAAGTGTGTCAGGCAGATGTGAAGATGCATCAGGTTGTCTGTGTAACATGTATCAGTTCAGCTCTAGGCAACTTGGTTTGAGTACCGGAAACAGCTTCAAATCTCCAAGACGTTTTGCCTCTCAATTTAGCTAAAATTTGGCTTAACAAGTAAAGCAGTTCTTTTCAGTATATCACAAAGCCTGTTTCTCAGACTACATATTAGTGGCTTTACAGATATTTAATATATGGCAAATAGGATCTATAATGGCTGTCAGGTTTGGCAGTACTTGTGATCTAGGAAGTAAATATATGTTCATATGTATCCTCACTTTCTTAGTCTGAGTAGGGCTCTGCTGTATTTATAAAAAAAAAAAAAGCCAAACAAAACTGTATTTAAAAACAAAACAAAAAAATAATCACTTAACTATTCATTAAATATTTTTTTGGGGAAAAAATTGCTATCAGTTTAGTTCAGAGAGAAAATCATACTATCCTGGAAATATTTTTGCTGAGCACAGTGTAGCAAAATGCTCATTTCTTTCCTGTGCATCTGCAGCTCAGTGAACTTATTTGTTTTGAACACTTCAGAGTGTTTCAGTCTGTTTATCAAATGAGGGGATGGATACATAACATTAAAAGCAGCAATTCACATGTGAAACTTCTGACAATGACTGGTAATTATTTATAGCTCGCTTAAGCCACAGAGTAAAATCCACTTGAGTTTTTGAATCCCGCTGTCATACTCTCCCACAAAACAGTCTCTTCCTATACAAGCAGTGAGTTTGAGATCTTCAAATAGATGCGTCTTCAGGTTGGGTCCTCAACATCTTTATTCGTTTTTCGAGCCTCTCCATCCATTCGTTTCTGAGCCTAAGGACAGAAACACTGGTTAGCTTATCCCTAGATTTTTACTAGGAACTGATTTTTTTTTTTTTTTTTTTCCCTCTTCAGCACTTCTGCTGATTATAATGCAAACTGATCTGCCCATTTAGATTGTGTTGCTGGATAGAAGTTCAGGATTGGATCTCAGATCCCACTACCACCTCATTTGATCATTGTGGTTTATTTTCATCTTTTTTTCATCCTTTCTTAAGTGTCTCTTTCTGCCAAAGTGACTTGTCACCTCCACTGGAGATTGCTTACTGCCATCTGCTGGGTAGCAACACCCATTGTTTCCCTAGTCCCCTTCTCAGAAATTACTTCAGAAAAAGTACTTTGTAGACAGGCTTATGTGCACCATTTAGCTTGGAGGAGCTATGAGTGTTGAAACTCCTCTTAGGTCCATAACAGGAACACTAACTGCCTGTCAGATGATAAATGGAAGTTTGTTTTCTCTTTGGTAGAGTCTAGATAGCAAAGAAAGACTGTCTCGAAAAGAAAACAAGTTTCACAGTTGAGGATCTGAAACATTGAAATTAGGTTATTTTAAAAATGGGTAAAATGTACTGGAGATTGATTCCATTGTTGCTTCATGGAAGGTTATTAATGCAATGTCCTCTTATACTTACTTGCTTAAACATTAACTGAAAGGAATGTAGGAGGGAAATTTGGAACAAATACTTTCTTTTTGAACATTTCATAGCCAGAATACCCATCTGTGTATGTGCCTTCAACTCCCGGGCACTTCATGTGAAGTAAAACAGTATTGATGGTGCAGCAGACTACTTTTACATTATTTAGCTGAGTAAGGTAAATGTGACTTACTGAGGTAAAAATAGCTACAGATGGTTGCTTTAATCAGTTAGACTATTTAGATCATCTGCTTTATTATGGACTTTGTTCAGATTAACTCACACAAATTAATTGAACACGTACTCTTGTGAAAACAAAGCCATAGAGAAAGAGGGTGAATCAGGTACAGATAAGTGTTAGTTCTGATGTGAACTTTGATATTCAAGGCAAGTGTGTACTGCTAGAGTTTGTCCTAATAACTTCAGGAATTTCCGCACTTTGGACCCAATTTTTGAATAAGTAAATTATTCTCTCATCCTGTGAAGCGATAACTAATACTGATTAGTATTAGTAGGCCAATTTGTGAAACTTTCTTATATTTTTAGAAAATAATAAAGTAAACATTACTTTCAACTTTCACTGTGTGACATAATATAGGCATAACTTTTCTTTTAAAAAGAATAACAGTGCAAACTCAAATAACCTTTCAAAATACAAACTACTAACTTTGTCAGAGCACTTCTTTGCTGACGTTCTCTTTCAACTTGCAGATACCGAGTTTGTTGTTCAATTGTCTTTTCCCAGAAGTTTCTCAGGTTGCTAGTTTCACATCCTCGCACTTCGTGACGTATATATTGACTATTCATTTTCTGTTAAGGATAAATTTGAAATGGTTATATTACAAGTTATTTGTCCCTCATCTTTTTTCACAGCAGAAACACGATACTGCTGTTTTGGATTTTCACAGCATTAGGTTCACACAGTTTTTTTTTGTTTTTTTTTTTTTAATGTAGGATCAGGATACCAGTAGGCAATTTAAAACTTTTTTCTACCTCTGACACTAGACAATGTGCTGTTTGCAGTGATTTGAGTTCCTGCTTGCTAATTTCAGATGCTATTTACCTCTGTCTGTGATTTTTAAGATTAACATGTATAACTTTTCTTTAGCATTCTTTACTTTAATAATTAGTATACGGTTTATGATTTTCAAAAATGACAGGAAGTAGAAAAATTGCCAGATCTAGTGGGAATTTCTCACTGTTTTCATTTTTACAAAATGTTCAATTGATCACAGTAGATCAAGACTCAAGCAACAAAAGAAAACGACTCTGGTGTTTTGTTGTTAATGAATTTAATTTTTGTCTTAATTTTGGGGAATGGAGAAAATGTGCATACATTAAGATGTTAACTTGCAAAACCTATCACACTTATTAAATACTTCTCTGTTCTGTAATTTTCAAAACAGAGCAATTTCATTCAATGTGTTTATATACCTGTGTTGATTCTGTACTTCCTTCATTTAATGATGTCCTAGAGAGAAATCTGTGAGTAAATCTTAAACTATGGAAAAAAAATATCTATCTCTGGATGACTCTCTATGGGCTGGCAATAAAGCTCTCATATCCCCCATTACAACCAGAAAATCGTATAGTGAATTTCAAAACTTCACTGAATATAGAATGAGTTTATAGATGCTACCTTCCAAATTGCCAGGTGATTTTGCATAAACATGCCATTATAATATTTTCCAGAATATATATGTTTTAACAAATATTTGTCTCATGTGTTGTTTAAATTTGTGGCAATTATTTGCACTTTATTTTCATCAAAGGAATAGAGAACTAATAAACAAGACCCTCAAGGCTTGCTTGGAAAAGCTTGAAGGAACTACTGCCATTCCCTTGCTGGGCACAGTAACAAAAGCAGAATTGGGAAGCAGTAATCTTTATATAACTCAGGAGATTTGGCTGTTTTAAGAGAAACGCTAAGAGAAGTTTCTGACTGTTGATAGAGAACAATAGCTGCCTTTTTGAAGAGTTTTCTTATTTTTTAAGAATTCCCTGTGACTCTGCTGTGTGTACACCATATGTGCCAATACATGGTCCTTGAATAATAAAAGTTATGTTTCTGAGCCTGCGTTTGTAGAATTTTACTGAAAATTATTTTCAGATTACAGCTGTATGTATAAGTATTGAGCAGATTATAGTTGGATGAATAAGTATTAGCAACAGCATGTAATTGCAATTACAACTGAATACCTCCAACTGTAGGAGGCAACAAATTCTAGGTCAAAAGTCTCTTTAATATAAGTGTGTTCATAAATAATATGCATTCTATCAGTTTCTCTTCTCAGATGTAGTTACTGCTCTCTTTAACCTCTTGTGTACCCAGGGATACTCTAGACACTTGTGAAGAAGATCCAGTAACAGCCATCTGACCAGATTGATGGTGTTTCTGCTATGGGATTTCATCTCAGAATAACAATAGTGCTGAAGTACATGAAACAAAATTCTCAAACATCCTTCAGGCACCGAAATAAACAGTGACAGGAAGTAGTCTCTCCTTTTTTCTTTGGTAAGAGATGATCTTAAAAAAAAAAAAAAAAAAAAAAAAAAAAAAAAAAACACCAGAACATTTTCACTTTTTCTGAATGTGAATTCCCATTTTACTATGAATATGCTTTTTTCTATATTTATGAGAGTGAATAGCTCTTCTGACTGAGGTGAAGTTCAGAATCTGTGGAACTCACTACTACCGTGTATTAACTGAAACAACACACTTACTTTTGGAACACACACATCCTTTATCAATTTCAGATGTTCTGCCTTTTGTCAAACTGCATATATTTTTGGTGCTGTTTTGAATATATATTTATATGTATCTTTCTATCACCTCCTTAATAAAAAATAAAATAAAAAATAAATAAATCTCAAGGCAAAAGTTTTGAACACCATAAAAGAGAACTTCAGAAATAGTTTTCATTGTTATTCACCTTTCATCATTTAGTGCAGGGATACCTGTTGAATACTATGAAGTATACATTGTAGTATATATCATACTATATGCTACATCATTTATTATTTTTTTGGTGGGTGTGGGAAATCAGTATTTTTCTCACTGTAACATCAGCCTTTTTTGGTTTGCTGGCTGAGGCTGTCTGAGCCTATACTTTTTCCAACATTCTATTTTGCATCAATATGTGGATAATAGTTAAATTTTCTTTCACTCAATCCTTGATCTTCCCTTTTTTTTTCCCTCCTAATAGTGCACAACACTCACAACACTCTCTCTGCATGACACACTGAATTCTTGATTAACATTAGTGAACCAGTGTGCAACTATTTGCACCACACATCTGTAGAATCATCCTATCTTAATCTGCCCTTTACTTTGAAACTGTTATTTAAGCCTATTCATTCAGTGACTGCAGAAACTTCTCAACAAATCTGCTAAAGTACCCCTGCCTGGTTTCCTTTATATTTGAGCAAAGAAATTTTGAGTTTAATGTGTTCTGCCATGTATTTCAACACTGTTGCTGGAAAACTTCAAGGTTATGTGGGAAATCAGCAGTATCAAATCTAGTCTGTCAGTATTTCACATGGCAGAGGATACAGTTTCTTTGTTAATGTCTTCTGACAATAATGGAAATCTTATTTTCTTCTCCTACTCAGTTTCTTTCTAGTTCCAGAAGAAATTAAGTGAATTTAAACTTGTATGGTAGACTTGCATCAGGAGTTACCAAGTGGGTAATGTTTATTTTCATATCAAAGTGGGAAATACAGAATAGCAAAGTGGGAAGTAAAGAGCTTTGTTTAGCAGAGAAAGAATGGTTTGAGGAAGATATGTAAGGGGCCTCTGAAGAATGCTGTGTATAACAGGTAGGAAGAAATGTCATGCTCAGGTATATAAGAAGTTGTGATAACTCTTACATAGATCTCGCAGTAGACCTGATTTCAACTTGCCTGCAACAGCTAACATCAACCAAAATTTTATTTAAGCCTCTCATGATGATCCTTCTGTAGGACAATAATGAGTCTCTTTCTGGTAATCATCTTTGACAGAGCCCTGGTTGTTAGCTGAACCAATGTAGCTGCTCTCAGATGAAAGGAATATCTAGATAAACTCTAAGAAAGCTTTAGCCAACACAGGATGAACATGATCAATTCCTTTATGTTTAATCATTTTGGAGGAGGTTGATAGTATTTAGACTCCTTTGCAAAGGAGATCTTATAAAGAAAGTGAAACTATAGCGTTAGTACTGTTATTTGAAATAGAAAAATTGTGCTGGTAGAACAAAAGAAGGGCATGTCAGATCAATTCAGTGTGACATCCTGCCTCTTTTGTAAGTGCAAAAATCAATAGTTCAAGGTTGGTACTTACTAGTTCTATGAGAAGCCATTAACATCAAGTGAAATATACTGTTATATAAAGAGAATTGAAAATTAAGATTTGCTTATCTAGAAAATGAAAAGTGCTTTTCCCCATTGTAGTAGAACAGAAATTGTTTTTTTTTTTTAGATGCTTTTTTTTCTTAATTTTCCGTAATATTTGCGTAAGTCAGGAAAGCTATTTAATATTTCTCTTGTCTTTCATGTAACACAGTCAGTCAGGGATTTGAGGATGCTATGCATCTTTGTAGAAATAAACCAATATTTTATTCCTCTACTTTTGCATGGATGTTTCTCCATGCAACGATGGTGATGTTATTTCCATGATAATGCTGATGTCTAATTTTATAACAATAAGAAAGCTTTAATTTTAGAAAATGGGACTTGAAATTGCAACCATGATTTTCTTCCTCTGTCATGGATCTTGGGTATGTTATCTGCCTTCTGGAACTGGAAGCAATTAATGTCTCGAAGTGTTAACTGAGGTTTGTTTTGAGATCCTGCCTGGTGAAGCGCATCAGTTTCAAATTTATCTTAGGTCTTCAGAGCATGGAGAAAACTCTTTAAGGGTAGAAGAAAGTACTTTGCTTTAATCCTTTGTAACTTGTTTATGTGGCAAGTTACATAAATAAGATCTGCGAGATGAAGGATGTGCAGGAAAGAGGTATTATTCTGGGAGGGCAGAGGCTGCCCAGTTGAACAGCCAGGGATGCCCCAACAGAAGCTGCAGTATCTGACAAGGTTGGGTAGACAGGATCAGAGCCTGGATGCTTTCTGGTGCACACATTTCCCCTGTTCTCTTTCAAAAATACAGAGACATGATATCAGAAAAAAATGTGTGGCTTGCATGTGTGCAATATTCAATGTATTGTACTTCAACACTATAGGTTGTGAATCTATGCTTTTATTTTCTAAAGACTGATATCTGAAATTTGCAATTAAATAATGGAATTCTAGACACATTATTTATTCTACATCAATCTTTCCTAGTTTGTCAGTATTTGAAGCATACTGTCTAACCACAACATGTTCTCAGTCAGGAGGTCATTGACTGTGTAAAACCTTCAATAAAATTTATTGGAATTTTGCATAAGATAAGAATTTTCCCTGTATAAAAATGACAACCATGTGATTTAGTAGTACAGAAGGAGTTACCTGAATGCATGAGTTACAGATATTCATCTAGCAAAACAATTCTGGAATGTGCAATATACTGTTTGAAAGCAAAGATCATGCAGCAATCTCATGTTCAGACACTCTCCTTGTTCCTGGTTACTGGAGTTCATTACTGCTTTTCTATAGAAAGTTGATGAGTATGGCCTTGTTTATCAGTTTCAGAGAACTGCTTTCTTAAAATGCATTGAATTATTATCAAATGTGAGCCTTTTCTCATAAAAAAGCCTTTACAAAAAGAAAAAAAAATATGAAAAAGATACAATTCATAGTGGCTGTAGACTCTTTTCATATCATATTGCTATAAT